AAATGAATGAAAAACAAATTTCTAGTAGTATTCAGATGATGGAATATCTTTTTTTTCTTTTTGGTCTTTTCAAGACAGAGTCTCACTATGAAGTTCAGGCTGGCCTCCAACTCAGTGACTCTCCTGCCTCAGCCTCCCGAGTGCTAGGATTATAGGCATGCACCACCACACCCAGCATTGGGATATTTTAAACACACACAAGAAAATGATTTTTTTTCAGGCAGGGTCTTGCTTATTTGCCCACACAGGATTTGAACTTGCCATTCTCTTAAGTGTTTGGACTTCAGGTATGTGCAACTGTGCCCGTTGAAGATGATACTTTTAGGGACACGGGAAATTGCTCTGGGTGTATATAAGGAGCATTATAGGTAAGGTAGGATTTATTTATTTAGTTATTTTTTGGTTAGGTAGGATTTTCCTACAATAGAGTTCAAAATTCAATGTATTAAAGTAGAGCTGTATTTCTCCTACCAGATGTGGTGGCACACGCCTATAATTCTACCACTCCAGAGGCTGAGGCAAGAGGACTGTGATGAGTTTTCATATATATATATATATATATATATATATATATATGTCTTTTTCCTTTTTATCAGTACTGGGGATCGAACTCATGAATGCCTGCTTGCAAGGCAGGAGCTTATGCCGCTGAGCTAAATCTTCAGCCCCTCTGTGATGAGTTTAAGGCCAAACTAGACTCCAGTAAGTCTCCAGGCTATGAACATTCAAGTTGTGAACTTTCACAGATACAGATCTCAAATTAGTAGATGCAAACAAATCTCAGAAGTACATCACGTGTCTGCCAGACACTGTTACTGTTGTGCTGCTGTGTGTTTACTGTACAGTACAACCGTGTACAGTAGCACAGTGCTTAGTCAGAGCCCAGGGTATCCAGAAGCAAACAGAAAAGCAGCAGTGATATGGAGGGAACTGCTAAGAAGTGCAAAGCAACATACACCAGATGTTTTTGTCACATGCGTCTAAGACTCACTTTATAGACTTATGAATGAATCTAACTTACAAACGTTCTCACAGAACAGAACCTGTTTGTAAGCCAGAGACTTATATTTTACACAGTGAGACCCAATCACTGCCTTGGGTTTTTTTTTTTTTTTTTTTTGGTACTGCGATCGAACTCCTGACCTTGCACTTGCCAGGAAGATGCTTATGCAACTGAGCTAAATCCCCAGCCTGTAAGACCTAATCTCAAAATTTTTTTTCTTTTTTCCATAGCAGGCCAAACATAACCAATTCAGGCTGGTAGTGAGGCTTCCTAGCATCAGGTACTCTGATGGCTTCACCTATGGCAGCTGTCCTGGCCTGTGTGATCCAGGATGCTTCACACCACATCTGTGTTCCAGCCAGTGGGAGGAGGAGGAGGAGGAAATGGAGATTCCTTCTGCTGCTCGTGTGGAGCTAGTTTCAGTGCATGTGCTGTTAAGGCTTCATTCCTCAGCACACCAGTATGTCACTCCTTCAAAGCAAGGTGAACCAAGAAATGTAGCTGTCCCTTTACTTATTTTCCCCTAAAGACAGTTTTTTTCTTGGGGCACTTTCCAGGAGAGATTGATGTATAAAAAGGTGTGTGGGGGGGCATTAAAAAAGGAAATAGCTCTGAATGAGGCAAACAAAATATCACCTTCAAAGAGCTTCACATTCTAGTGAAAAAGTCAAAGAAACTGTATTAATAAATGTTGCAGTCAGGGTCTGCAAGGGAAAGGAACACAGGACACATAATTTATAGGATTATTTTGTAATATTCATCCAAAGAGTCTAACGCAAAAAGAGTGCAGGAAATCTGTCCACATACTAGAGTCCCGAAGAATCCAGCTGAGGCCTTGATCCCACGGCGAAGTCCTACACAAATCCAGCTGAAGACTTAGAGCCCATGATAATGTCTCATGCAAGTCTGTTTCCCAGATCTGCACTGGGAAGGCCCAAAGGTCAGTGGTGAAAGCTAGAAAATCTGTGCAAGTGGGATGAAGGATCTGTGCAGCAGGCTGAGGGATCTGTACTGGAGCCAGGAAGCAATGCTCAAAGTAAGGACCAGGGGCTGGGGATTTAGCTCAGCGGCATTAGTGCTTTCTTGGCCAGTGCGAGGTCTTGAGTTCAATCTCCAGGACTACAAAAAAAAAAAAAAAAAAAAAAAGAAAATCCAAATCCAAGTAAGAACCAGAGCTCCCCAAAGTGAACCACAGCCATCCTCAGTGACAACGAGGTCCCAAGCTCCTCCAATGATGATAAGAACAGCCAAGATTATGTCAGGAAAACCAGTACAACCCATTTCTCTAGGAGAATCAACAGCACCACCTCTTCCCCTCCAGTTCTCCTTTTCACCCTGTGGGCAACAATCCTCAGGTGGGCCTTCTACACCCAGCACTACACTGATTCAGTTCAGCTGATTCAACTTGTTACAAGTTGGCCACCAGTTGTCAGTCTACCACAATCAACCATATAAACCAGGCATGCGCCACCACACAAGTAATCATAACACTCTGAGAGGCTGAGGCAGGAGGACTGAAGTTTGAGCCCAGCCTGTGGTTTAGTGACACTTAAGTCTCAAAACAGGATGTAGCTCTATTTCTGTTTAAGGGTCCTGCATTCAATCCCCAGCGCTGAAAAGCAACAAGTAAACCATACAATAACTAGCAGGTGATGAATGAAAGAGCAGTGTGTGAGGTGGGGATCTGAATGGTCCTTCCTCAGATCTCTAGATGCACAGATTTGAGCAGCACTGTCAGGCTAGGGGTCTTGGTACTGGGGAAGCATCGCATGTGAACCAAGGAAGGCTTTAAGGACACTGTGTCCCGGTTCAGCTGGGAATATCCAGATCAAGCTGCTAGTGGGGTTCACTCTTCTCCAAGGCAAAGAAGCGAGAGTAGAGTGGTGACAGGACTGATCAGCAGACTTGGTGGCTGGGGTGTGATTTTTTTTTTTAGTCTCACTATGTAATCCAGGCTGCCCTTAAACTAACTCACTTTAATCCTGCTGTCTCAGTCTCCTGAGTGCTACTATTATAGTCACGCACCACTACACCTAGCATACAAGCAGGTTTTATTTTGAGACAAGTCCCCCTGTGTAGCACATGCTGAACTCGAACTCACAGCAGCCCTCCTGCCTCAGCCTTCTAAGCGCTGAGATTGCTGGCGTGTACCACCATGCCAGACTACAGCTTTCAGAGTATGAAACTGATAGCCTCACAGAATCTTGGGTGGGCATGGAGGCAGAGAGGCCTCCTTGGAAGAGGAGACTTCTGAGCTGACATCCCAAGTCTGAGTAAATACACAATTGGGTAAAAAACAAAAAATAAAAGGAAGAGTGTTTCAGAGGGCACAGCTTATGCAAAGATCTGTCAGCAAGTGAGCTTGGGGACAGGTCAGAAAATTGAAGCTGCTCACTCTGGCTGGGAGGGTGTGGTACCAGGGAATCCAGATGAGTCACCACCAAGAGATTTATCATCAGCCAAGCCCAGGTTTAGACCTGGTCCTGTCACCTTTTGTGACTTTGTTCTGAGCCTCCATTTTCTCTCCTGCTAGATCTTGCCTCATGCACAAGACGTGAGTCGTAGTTTCTTGGCCTGACCCCAGAAAGCCCTGGGGAAGCATTTGCTACAACTGTTTTGTCTGTTATGATCTTGTTGAGCCATTACCATATTAATTATATTACCGAAGATTACTTAACGGGCTTAAGGAGCCTGACTGCTTGAGTTTAACCTCTGAAGTAGTTTACTTTTCTATAAAGCGGGGATAATAAATGGCATTTATCCCACTGGCTGTCATGATATTAAATTAGCTGATATTTTGAAAGCATTCAGGAGAAATCTGGCAGCTGATTTTGTCATTAGTAATGATAGAGCCCAGAAAAAGGACTGGACACTCACAGGTTGGAAAGAAAACAAAAGGATCTAAAAGCAGCTTTAGCTGTGGTTTCCCCCACAGTCTCCCTCCTCCATCTTCAGGGATCTCGGGAACGTCAGTCTGGCTTCCCTGTAATCTCAGCACTCTGGGAGGCTGAGGCAAGAAGATAGTAAGGTTGAGTTCAGCCTAGACAATTTTGCCAGATTCTGTCATCCTTTACTAAGTAAACAAATTTAAAAAGCAACCTAGGATGTGGAACTCAATCAAACCCTGTTTGAACCCTGCTCTGGGACTCAATCAAACCCTGTACTGAAGCCAGGCTTGGTGGCATACACCTGCAATCCCAGCATTCAGAAGACTTAAGCAGGAAGATCGCCAAGAGTTCGAGGCTACACCGAGGCTACACCTTTGAACTCCTTATAGCGAGTTCAAAGCTATAACGAATTCATAGTGAAACCTTGTCTCAAAAAAACAAAAAACCCTGTATGGGAGGAAAAAACAAAACCATAATAAAAACAAGCATTAGTCCAAGGACTCTTCCTGTATCTAAAGCTCTCTTTGGAGTCTAGGGTACACTTTAACAACATTCAAGGGGAAAACAAAAACAAAACAAAAAAACCCGTGGAGCCCTGACTTGGTGGGAGATGGCACAGGGCGACCTTCATAGACTGCCAACTGCGACACCCAGTTTGACGGCCATAGCTGCTGCAGGGCCAACGAAATCCAGCCTGGCCTCGGTCCTCCCCACAATTGGGGGCGTCTGTGCCTCAATTGTGAGCCAAATGAAACTGGTGCCCTTCAGGTGCTGTTGTCTGGGCAAGACCCAAAGCGCGGCTTGTTGAGCCGTTTGGGGACGGATCGAAAACCGCCAACCAGGGCCCGGTGGAAGTAGGTCTCTGGGAGAGAAGCCACACCCCCAAGATCCGAGATTGCTGTGTCTTGGAGAGCTCCCGGAAGACCTAACGTAGATACTAAGCCTGGGCGGGGCTCGAATCTCCTCCCGCGCCGGGCACGTTCAGGGCGGAGCCCCTGCGTCGGACCCGTTACGTAGGGCGAGGCATCGCGCGCACGCGCAGTTTGTACGGCATGCCGGTTCTAGGACCGCGCGGATAACCAGCGGGCGCCTTGCGGGACCTAACCCGGGAGCGGCTGCCTGAGTCACGGCCCCGCCCTCTGGAGCCGGACGCTGCGGGAGGTCCGGGAACTACAGACCTCCGGACAGCAGGACAGCTGAGCAGCCGGCCGCGGGACGCGCAAGTGAGGCGGTGAGCGCCTGGCCCAGATTTCCCTTGCATCTGCAGCCCCGGGCTCGGCAGCCCCCAGACCCAGCGAGATCCTACAGTCCTGGCTTCTGGGATCCTCCAAGATCCAAACCCCCAGGCCTGTACGACTCTCTTCCCATCTCGGGGACTCCTCCCTACCTACAGTCTCATGATCTAAAGTACAAGCTCTCAGACATTGGAAATGTACCCTATAAATTCTTTCTAGAGCCACTTAGAACCACGATCCCAGCCTAGATCCATGCCCCTACTTCTAGTGAGAACCCCATTACCCTAGGTTTTTGGAGCCTCGATTTTAGAACGGGGCTCACAGATCAGTGGTGACTGTGATCCCGCGGCCGACCGAGCCTAAATGCTCAAAGCCACACTCAAAACTTCCTAAACCCCGCCCTGGGGCCTCCAGCCCGGGATCCCTTTTCCGAGCCCTCAAACCTGCCAAAACCCCTGCGTTCCGTGCTGGGGCCCTGGATTTGAGCACGTAAACACTGCGTACTCCTTACACCAATTCGGGACCCCATCTGGAGGACCCCACTGTATCTGTAACTCTGCCTGTCCCTTTTCTTTTCCCCTTGGTACAGGGGATTGAACCCAGGGCTTTTGTATTGCACTGCAACTCAGGCTCCTTCCTCTTTATCTTTCTTTTATTTTAAACAGGATCTCACTAAATTGCCCAGGTTGGGCTCAAACTTGCGATCTTCCTGCCTCTGTCATCTAAAGTGCTAGGATTACAGCCACGCCCGGTTTATATCCCCGTCCTTAACGACAACTGCACTCAGTCAATCCCGGGTCCCTTAAATCCGACGGGTAGCTTTTAGTCCTCAAAGGGGATTTCAAACCTCTGTTCCTGTTCTACCTATCGTAGCATCACATTCTACCCGAAGCCCATATTCCTAACCTGAGCACCTGCTCCCTCCCGAGGCCTCAGAGTCTTCTTCCACATACTGCTGCCGGAAATGCATATTTTTGCAGGAGGGAGAGGGCCCAGGGGCGAGGCAGGTATCTGACCCCTTTTCCTCTTTCAGGATCGAAGCCATGTTCCTGGTTAACTCGTTCTTGAAGGGCGGCAGCGGCGGCGGAGGTGGCGGGGGCCTGGCCGGGGGCCTGGGTGATGTCCTCGGAGGCTTCCTCGGCGGAGGTGGTGGCGGTGGAGGAGGTGGTGGCGGTGGCGGTGGCGGTGGCACAGCCATGCGCATCCTGGGCGGAGTCATTAGCGCCATCAGGTAAGGCGGGACCTGCCGCAGGCGGCTCCAACAGGAATAGAGTAAGATTAACCTGGAGACTGACCTGAGAGCCTTAACCGAAGGTGGAGGTCTTGTGAGCGCCTCCGGGCCAGTAAGTGCGATGTGGGACTTGAGGGGCAGGTCCGCAGACTGGGGAGGTGGGATTTACTGTGACTGTACGCGGCCTCCCTTGGCTAACTTAAGGACTAACTTTAAAGGGCAGGAGCCAAGGAGTTTGGCAGTACTTGGTGGGAGTCGGGCTTAATTGGGGTTAGACAAAAGGAGTTAGATCTAAGGAGGCGGTGATGGCACAAAGAGGATAGGGGAAATAGCCTAGAAGGAGCTGGGCCTGCTTGGAACTGGCTGGGCTGATGGAGAAAAATGCCTTGATGGATAGGGCGGCATAGTTTAGTCGTGGTTACCAATCAGTGATCACTCAGGGAAGTGGAAACTGATGGAACTGGGGTAGGGTGTTGGGAAGAGACACCTGAGAAGGGGAATGATAGAATAGGACCTTTGGGCAGATGGGATCCAGGGAAGATGGGGCCCTGGGGCAAGACCTTGCTGTTGAGTCCTGGAAGGAGCGGGGACTGTTGAGACTAGGTAGGATTTGGGTTGATACTGAATGGGGCCAAGATGACCCTGACATCTGCCATTGAATGGGTGTGCCTTAGCAGGAGTGGATTCTTCTATGGGTCTGGAAGGGCAAGTAGAGTTGGCATAGTAGAAGGAGAGAAGGACAGTGTGGATTGGGACAGAGGAGGACAGGGACAGAGGAAAGTTGGAAGAACCCAGTAAGAAAGGTGGGGGGCTGAGATCTGCAGGATTGGAGCCCGCAGTTCTATTGGCCCTGCCCGTTGGAGGCTCCGCCCCCGGCCTAACTCCCTCTCTTCTGTCTCTTCCTTAGTGAGGCAGCTGCGCAGTATAACCCAGAGCCCCCGGTAAGCTGCCCTCCACAACCAGACGCCCTCTTCAATGTCAGTGCTTTTTCAGGCCCCACCCTTGTTCCTACGGAATCCTCCTCTCCTCTTAGGAAATTCCTCTGCCATTAAATCTTTCCTTTACAAAGTTGTTAGCCCCTGTTCTCAGCCATGACTCACTCACTTCCTGTTCAGTGATTACCTCTTATTCTTCTGATAATCAGGCTCCCTAGCCCACCCTGACCTTCCCACCTAGGGTGCTTGGATGTGGGGAACCAGAGCCCATTCCCCACACTGGCCGTGAGCTCTGCTCTCTCTGTAGCCCCCGCGCACCCATTATTCCAACATTGAGGCCAACGAGAGTGAGGAGGTCCGGCAGTTCAGGCGACTCTTTGCCCAGCTGGCTGGAGATGTAAGTAACATGGAGTTTCTGGTGCTGTCCTAACCCTTCGGTGCCTTCCCTTGGTCTGCCTTGGCACACATACACACACACACTTGACCATATAGTCCCAGACTTCGCATCCTTCAAGACTGGATCTCCTCTGAGCCACTCTTCTGCTTGCAGGACATGGAGGTCAGTGCCACAGAACTTATGAACATTCTCAACAAAGTTGTGACCCGACGTGAGTGACCGGGGTTAAGGCCTAGGACAAAGGTAGAGGGATGGGGGCTGGAGTGGCTATGAGTCTGACCTTCATTCTGTTCTGCACAGACCCTGACCTGAAAACTGATGGTTTTGGCCTTGACACATGTCGAAGCATGGTGGCTGTGATGGATGTATCCTTTGAGGGGTGCACTGGGGAGAGGGCCTGAGTGGAGAGGGAGTTTTCTGAGAATATGTTTTGGACAGCCAGGGTCTAGGTTTCACATCTACAGACATGAATGTACAAACATCAGAACACACACCCTTCTACAGACATGTGGCAATAAATAACAACTAGCATGTATGTTCATAGACTGAAGCTTCATAGACATCTGATGGACAGGCACAATTATCACACTACCTTTGATTTGTTTTTATTTTTTTGAGACAGGATCTTACTTTGTAGTTCAGGCTGGCCTTGAACTTGCAGTGATCCTCCTGCCTTAGCCTTCTCAGTACAAGGAACATAGGTGTGCACCATTGCACCGGCATCCATACCATTAAAAAAAAAGTAACGGTATTGGAGTTTGGACCCAGGTTTGTGGGGCTACAATTCAGGCTTATAAAATTCACATGCACATGAATATACATATAGTACCCAAGAGCACGACCCTGTATTTGGTATATGAAAGGATGTGCACAGGAACACAGTCATTGGGTGATCTTGGATACACGACACCTAATACATAGGACAATATAGGCTCACACATAGGTACATGTCATATGATCCAACATGGATTGCACAGCTGTATTCCTCAGCCAGGCTACTCAGTTTTTCAGTCTAAAATGGGACATGTGATAATGGTTACAGTGGACTGGAGCTATGTACAAAAGCTTTCCCATAGTTTGTAGCACACAATAAGTGATCTGTGCACAGTAGCTGTTACTGTGATTGTGTCCTAACATTTATGATACTGAGTTTCAATGAGGGATTTTATAAATGAGAACTTAGCAGTTCTTTTCAGAGGACCTTGTAATTTGGAGAAGTACAGTATGATTTCCATGGTTACATTTAAAGAGAGTTTTTGTTTAGAAATATATGTAGATATGTAGCATGGTGGTGCAGATATATAATCCTAGCACTCAGGAGGCTGAAGTGGGAGGATTGCTGTGAGCTTGAGGCCAGCCTGGGGTACATAATGAGTTTAAGGCTAGCCTGGATTACATAGCAAAATCCTGTCTCAAAAAACTAAAAAGTCCTATAATCCCAGCACTTGGGAGGCAACACAGGAGGATTGCTACAAGTTCCAGGTCAGCCAGGGCTATGTAGTGAGTTCAAAGTCAAACTAAATTACAGTGTGAGACTCTGTCTCAAAAAACAACAACCACAAAAACCCAAAAAGAAAAAGTGAAAAACCAAAAAGAGTAAAATGTAGATAAAACAAAAAGCCAGATGTGGTGGCACACATCTATAATCCTAGCACTCGGGTGGCTGAGGCAGGAGGATTGGTGGAAGATTGAAGCCAGCCTTGGTTATATGGTGAGTTCATGACCAGCCTGTATACTGCATAGCAAGACTGTCTCAAAAAGAAAAGGAAAAAAAAAAACCTGCACCCAGATGACGTGATGAGAGTGTTGAGTAGGAGCTGGTATTTTAGCCCAAATTCCCTGGTTTGCAGTGTCATCATCTAGCCATTCCATTGCAGTGTGCACAGCTGTTATTTTAATGTTCTTGATACATAATTACATTTCTTTTATTCTTAACGATTTCCTGCTAGAGCGACACCACAGGCAAGCTGGGCTTTGAGGAGTTCAAGTACCTGTGGAACAATATCAAGAAGTGGCAGGTATGTGGCAGCCTCTGAAACTCCTGGTGCCCAAACCCCCATGTTCCCTGGTACTCAGTGAGACTCTGTCCCCTCTGTCCACACAGGCCATATACAAACAGTTTGACATTGACCGATCTGGGACCATCGGCAGCAGGGAACTCCCAGGGGCCTTTCAGGCAGCAGGTGGGTCTGGCTGGGCCCTAGTGTGTGTGTTTGGGGAGGGATGACACAGCTGCACTGGCCTGAGCCACAGAATCCTGGGAATGGGCGTGGGTTGGGCTCTGTGGCCTTTACCTCTGAGGGGCTAATCTATTCCTAGGCTTCCACCTGAATGAACATCTCTATAACATGATCATCCGGCGCTACTCTGATGAGGGAGGGAGCATGGACTTCGACAACTTCATCAGCTGCTTGGTCAGGCTAGATGCCATGTTCCGTGAGTGACACTCCAGCTGTCTTCCTGGGTGGGCGACTGTTTTACCTCCACTGGCCCCGGTCTCCTCTAAGCCTACCTGGAGGTGGATAAGGCTAGGGATGTAGCAGTGACCAAAATGGCCCCAGTTCTTGCCCTCCTGGAGCTCACAGTCAGGCTGTCTACTGATGTCACAAGACTCAGTGTCTGGGAGCCTAAGAGAAGCCCAGAGGGTCAGGGCTCTTGCAAGTACAGATCTGAATGATGAATAAGAATAAACCTAGCAAGAAAGCAGGGATCAGAGTTGCAGGCCAAGAAGCCAGCCCGTGCAGGGGCCTGAAGCAAAGAGGAGGTGCTTTTTGGTGGACTCTTACTTCGGAGACTGCTGAAGAGGGGTGAGATGAGGAGGCAGAGTCATGAGGGCTTTATTTTGTTTTTGTGGTGATCGAGATGGCTAAGGCATGAGAGGTTAAATACAAATTCTACCATTCAGCTATATCCCAACCCTATTAAGGCTTTTTTTTGTTTGTTTTTTTGGTACTGGGGATTAAATGTAGGAGTACTTTACCATTGAGCTACTCTCCCAGCCCTTCTTATTTTTTATTTTGAGAAAAGGGCTTGCTAAGTTTCCCAGGCTGCCCTTGAACTTTCGATCCTCCTGCTTCAGCCTCCTAAGCAGCTGGGGTTTCAAGCATGTACCACAGCACCCAGCGCCATGAGCCCATTTGTAAGCATTAATGGTCTGAATCCCTAAGACATTCCTGAAGGCTAGGAATGTGGCTTAATGCAAAGGCCCTGGGTTCAGTCCTCAGTACCAGAAAATGTAAAGTAAAATAAAATAGTTAATACAATGAGAGCATTTTACACAGTGGTTAGCATGGAGTAAATAGTCAACGAAGTGCTAGCTATTATTATTGTCATTATTTTGTATATTTTCATATTATCCGAAAAGCCAGTCCTCCCTCATCCCCACCCACCCCCACTAAAACCTTCCTTTCTCCTCTTAGGTGCCTTCAAATCTCTTGACAAAGATGGCTCAGGACAAATCCAGGTGAACATCCAAGAGGTAAGAAATCCCATCCTCAGGTGCGGGTGCTTAGGTCCAAGGCCTCCCTCCCCCAAGCCTGTGTCCCCAGCGGCCCCGACAAGGATCTGGCACTCCAGTCTTCCCTGCTTCTCACTCTGCCTTCGTCTGTCCAGTGGCTGCAGCTGACCATGTACTCCTGAATGGGACTCCCACCTGCCGCCTTGTTAGAGGAGCCACCGTGGACCTTGGTCTCTCCCAGGCTAATCCTATCTGCAGTCCCATCTGCATGGCTCCTACACCCCCACAGCCTTTTCTTCCAGCCCTTGGCACTCAGCTTCTCAGTCAGCAGCCAGGTCCCCACGTTCCCCAACATGCCATGCCCTGAATGGCCCTGGCTGTGAGACATTCTAGTATCCTCTGCCCAAGGGTCACCACACCCATCTGACAGCCTCTCCATTACCTCTCTCCTGTACCTGTGCCAAGCCCAATACTCATGCTGCTCCTATGCCCCAAGGTCCATCTCAGTTCTGGGAGGATCTCAAGTCCCTGGTACACTCCTTCAGTTACCACCTAGGTAGCCAAATAAACTCCAGCCATTAGGCCTACATACCCCAGTGCCTTTGCCTGTACTCTGCTCCCAGTGGGCCAGGCCCAGGAGGAAATAAATGAGCTCCAGTTGCTACACCCAGTGGGATCTGACTTGTGTTCTAAGGTAAGGGGTGGCTTGGGCTCTAGGGAAGGAGTATGGGTCCTGGAGTGGGGGGTGGGGTGGGGTTTGGAGGTATTCCCACTCCTGTTTTGGGGCTGGATCTGGGTATCCTCTGCACCTTCTTATACCTGAAGTATACTTGGTTTTTGATGAGATCCCTTATGTTCTCTTGGCTGCCATAGCCAAATCCCAGTCTGGTAGGAGGTGTCCCCCAGGGCCAGTACCTGCCCCTGCCCCCCATGTGGTGGTGGTGGTGCGGTTCTGGGGATTGAACCCAAGGGTAGTCTACCGCTGAGCTGCTTCCCTAGAACTTTTAAATTTTTTTTTTTTTTTTTTAAATTTTTGAGACAGAGTCTCACTAAGTTGACTTAGTGGGACATTTGAACTTGGCAGTCCTCTTGCCTTAGCTTCCCCTCTGTGCTGGGATTAAATGTTTGCTGTAGGTGTGCACAGTTGAACCTGATGTGTTTTTCTCTTCTTTCTTTTTTTCCCCCTCCCATCCCCAGTACCAGGGATTAAGACTAGGCATGGAGTTTCACACCCATAACACCTATAGTCTTTGCACTCCAGAGGCTGAGGCAGGAGGATTACTTTGAGTTTGAGGCAACCTGAAATATATAGCTAGACCTTGTCTCAAAAAAAAGAAAGGAGGGGGGCGCTGGGGATTTAGGTTAGTGGCATAAGCGCCGGCCTGGGAAGTTGGAGGTCGCAAGTTTGATCCCAGGAACCACCTACACACGAAAAAAATGGGTTTGAACCCAAGGTCTTCATATTGAGCTGCATCTCCAGTCTTTTTGAGATGGTCTAGTTAAGTTGCTTGGGCTGGGCTGGAATGTGCAATCCTCCTGCCTCATGTATTCCTGCAGTATATGTATTCCTTTTTGTGTGTGTGCCAGGGATCGAACTCACGACATCGGACTCAACAGGCAGGCTTTAGGCTGCTGAGCTAAATCTCCAGTCCACAGCCTTTGAACCAATCTATCTTACTTGTCTCTGTTTCTGTGATGTCCTGGAGCTGGCTCAGCATCCCCCTCTTCATGTGGGCCTTTGCAGAGGAGTGGCTGCCATCCTGGGCATGACCCAGTGATGGACACCATTCCAGGTGGACAGGCCCCAAGCCTAGCATAGCTCAAGGCTGCTGTTTGGCATCTTCAGTGGAGCACTGAGAGGCAGCAGCAACTGAGGAGTAGCCCTGGGCATGCCTCAGGGGCCAAATCCCTGGCTAGCTGAAGAAGCCAGGACATAGACACACACACACACACACACACACACACACACACACACACACACGACATCCCTGGCTAGCTGAAGAAGCCAGGACATAGACACACACACACACACACACACACACACACACACACACACACACACACGACATCCCTGGCTAGCTGAAGAAGCCAGGACATAGACACACACACACACACACACACACACACACACACACACCAGACGTCCCTGGCTAGCTGAAGAAGCCAGGACACAGACACGGACACACACACACCCAGAGTTGGGCTGGGTTCTCAAGAAGTCTGCATGTTTATTGGTGTTTCTAGGGCCTCCAGGCTGCTTGGTCTCACTTCTTGTTGGGGAAGGAGGCCCAGCCAAGGCAGTACAAGCTGTAGGCGGTGCCTAGGAAGGAAGTGAAGGACGTGGAAGTGAGACCCTAACCCCCTTTGCCTCTTCTCAGGCTTCTGAGCCCTTCTGCAGGTTCCCATCGCCAGCCTGAGCTCCAGCTTCCAACAGGACTCCCATGGGGATTCCTCTGCTGCATTGATCAGGAACAGGCTAGGAACTTTATCCCCAAGTCCCCTTGGGACAGGAACCTAAATCCTGAATAGCTCTGTTCCCACCCTCCAACCTGGACACGGCCACCCTGCCCCCCATACAGCTTGAGTCGAGAGACCCCACACTTACCCCCGAGAGTCAATGCCATGGTCAGTCGGTACAGGAGGTGGTCGGTGGTCCCGCCCTTCAGGTGCACAGGGAGGTCATTGTTCTCCTGGGGGTGGGGGTGGAGGGGTGGGAGTAGTATAGGTGAGGGAAAGGGTACGGACTGCTTGCCAGACCGTGACACACACCACCCCCAACACCCCCAGTCTCAGAGGGCCCGCCCACCTGGAAGAGTTTCTGTTTTTCCGCCACCCGGTTCTGGAAGTGGTGCCTGACGCTGGAGCTGAAGGAGCGAGTCAGCGCCTGGGAGACCTGTGGGAGTAGGAAGTGGAGGGTTTGGAGGCACCTGGAGGGGCGTCCCCAAGTGGGTCTGGCGCGGAGAAGTGGTGCTGCTGTTTGAAGCAGGGTGTGGGTGCTATCCTAACTCGCGAGAGTCTTAAAGGCAGGATCTGAACTGCCAGCGAGGGCCAGGCGGGGAGTGGCCTTCTGTGAGAAGAGGGCCGCCCTGGTGTAGTGGCGCAAGCCAGTTGTGCCAGCATCCGGGAGACTGAGGCAGGAGGACTCCAAGATGGAGGCCACACTGGACAGTTTAAGGAGACTTTGTCTCAAAATAAAAAAGGTAGGGGCTGGGGATTTAGCTCAGCGGCATAAGCGCCTGCCTTGCAAGCAGGCAGTCGTGAGTTTGATACCTGGTACCGATAAAAAGGAAAAAGACCAAATAAATAAATAAATGAAATAAAAAAGGTAATCACAGAATTCTGAGGCTGAGGCAAGAGGATCACTGAGTTCAAGGCCGTGCTAAACTACATAGCAAGACTCTGTCTCAAAAAAAGGAAGGGAAGGAAGGAAGGGTTGAGAATGTAGCTCCATGCCAAGACGTTCAGTTTAATCCCTAGTACGAGGTGTGGGGGCGGGGGACTGAAACCGGGACTGATACATGGAGCCCAGGATGAAAGTTGGTAGGCTGTCTGAAAGGGGAGGGGACCCAATAAGGAAGATTCGGGTTTGGGGAGTCCAAGTCCTGAAGTGCTATGGGAGGGGGTGAGGGTCCTAAGTTAACGAAGGGAAAGGGGCCGTAGGGATGTCGAGACTGGATTGGAAGCCCCCTCAGCACTTTGCAGACTGTCTAAGGAGTCCTAGAACTGAACAGGACCAGGAGCTACATTCGGTAATTCCAGCACCCTGGGAAGCTGAGGCAAAAGGATCTCTTAGCAAATTTGAGCTCAAACCTGGCAACTTATAGAGATCTTGTCTTCAAATAAAAATGTTTTTTAAAATAAAGGGCTGGGAAGGCCTTGAGTTCAATCCATACATAATTACACACACACACTCACACCCCTCCTGGATAGGGATAAGGGTTTTCAATGTTATAGGAATCCTGGCTGAAGGAAGGAGGTTTAAATCCGCGACTCTGGGCTCCCTTAGTGTTCCCTGCTCCCCTGAATCTTGGGGCTTTGGGGTAGGGGTGGGTCCCAGGCTGCTCAACTGGGAGCTGCAGATCCACAAGGGGGCTCACGTTCCAAGGGCCCCAATCCGATCCGGCATGTGTCAGGAATCCCGTGTTAGGGCGCGGTTTCTGGATTGGGGGCCCCCGGCCCAGCCCGCGGGGGCCCTCACCCGTAGGGCCCTCATTCTGCGTCCTCCACCAGCTGGTTTCACCTCCCCTCTCGGACAAGGACACACACTGCCCTCCCCTGGGAGGAATCCCAGGCCACGCCCACTGCGCACAGCATGACAGCTGCAGGAACCCGGCCCGCGATGGGGGGGGGGGGCGGGGGAGGAGGGGGACGGGTTTGTTCATTGGAGGGCAGGGAACACATTGACCCCGTCTGGGAGAGCCTACAGGAGCACCTGACTGTTCTTATCTCTCAGCTCTGTCAACCTTAGAGGAGAGAACTGCGGTGCTGAGGAGTGCAATGTGGGATTTTTCTTGTAGTGATTGGAATTCCTTCCAGGATCTCCCCCTATCAGGCTAAATTTTAGGGAGTAGTGATAGGGATGGAGGACAGAGTTAAACCAGGATTCAAATTCCTTGTTCTAGCCGGGCGTGGTGGCTCATGCCTGTAATCCCAGCACTTGGGAGGCTGAGGCAGGAGGATCGTTGCAAGTTCGAGACCAGCCTGGGCTACAAAGTGAGCTTAAGGCCAGCCTGAACTGCATGGCACGAGACCCTGTCTCAAAAAAGACCAAAAAAAAAAAAAAAAAAAATTGTTCTACGTAAAGTGAGTGATTGCACCTCTGATCCTTATTTCCATATTTGTGTTTTTGTTTTTTTGAGCTGTGATCTGGCTATGCTGTTCAGGCTGGCCTCGAGCTCACCAAGTAGCCCAGGCTGGCTTGAACTCACTGAGATCCACTTGTCTTAGCCTCTCTAGTGTTGGGATGACAGATGTGCACCACTGTGCCCAGTTCTTGTTTCCATATGTGTAACAAAAAGCCATATCAAGACCTTCCACAGAGGTTTGTTGACAGCATAACTAATCTAACGCAGTAATTGCAGAGAAAAAGCAAGGAAAATTACTTCTAGAGTTAAAGTTCATATACTATGAGTTTGAGGCTAGGCTACTAGCACAGTGAGTTCAAAGCCAGGTTGAACTATACAAAAAAAAAAAAGTTCACAGATGAGGTTTTTTTTGTATTCCTTCCTGGGAATGAATCCAGGGCCTGAGAAGTTGCCAAGTTTCAGGGTATCATTTTCTAAGTACCAATACTTGATTCCCATCTCTTACCTGGATGAGTGAGTGTGTTTCATACAACATATTACCTGAACACAAACCTATCAGTGGGGGTTAGCAAAGCCACCAACAACTGTTTAACAGTGGGAGAGGAAAGCTATGTTTGAAATGAAAAATAATGTCCTTGTTCCTGGGATGAGGCTTTGCATAAGCTTGGTGGCAGAAGGTTTGCCTAGCATGTACTAGGCCCAAGGCTCAATTCCCAGATCTGCAGAAGAAAACCTAACAAAAGAATGAAACCCAATATGAGGCTATCTGAAAACATTTTCAAGGAAGGTTTTAACTACAATTTTTTTTTTTTTTAAATCGGTACCGGGGATCGAACTTATGACTGCCTGCTTGCAAGAAGGAAGGCGCTTATGCCAGTGAGCTAAATCCCCACCTCCTAACTACACTATTTTTTTTTTGTTTTGTTTTTTGTTTTTGTTGTCTTTTTCATTTTTATCGGTACCAAGGATCAAACTCACGACCGCCTGCTTGCAAGGCAGGTGCTTATGCCGCTGAGCTAAATCCCCAGCCCCAACTACACTATTTTTGCCAGGCATGGTGGCACACCTGTAATCCCAGCACTTGGAAGACCGAGGTAGGAGGATCGCTGTGTGTTGGACCCAGCCTGGGCTACATAGTGAATTCAAGGTCAGCCTCAATGACATAGTAAGACGCTGCCTCAAAAAAATTACACTATTTTTACCTTAGGCACCAATAATAAGAGCCTAACTTCATGAAAAAGAAGACTCCACCATTCAGAAAGGGCCAGTCATTTTTTCTTATATCCACATTAACGGGGGAGGGGGCGCCTGGAAATGTAACTCAGTGTGTATGCCCTAGATTCACTCTACCAAAAAAAAAAGTCCTGAGGGAACCTTCACTATTTCCAGCCTGGAAAGCATCTAAACAAGCAGGCCCTGCTGGATGAGCCCCCCCTCCCATTTTATTCCCAGTTTACCATCCTTTGATCATATACTTTGTGTCCAATCATACTTCCACATGACTGTTCATGCCTCAAGGAACCTAAGCATACAAATAAAGTTTTCCTGGGTCCTTAGGTCTTCATTTCTGAAGCCTCTTATGTTAAATAAAACACTGACTACATTCTGAAGGCCTTTTTCCTTGTTTATCTGTGCTTTGTTATGTTCCATGCGGAGTACAGAGAAAGAAGTTCAAGACTTGTCTTCCAGCAGCTGACAGGAACCTTATGGGTTTACAGAAAAGGGGAACAAAGGGAAAGGTTGGGAATTTACATAGCTGAGGCTTTGCATAACTGGCAGCATAGGTAACCATGGCCAAACCTTGGTCTGGTTAACTTTCCCCAGGGCTGGTTCTGCCAGGCTCAGGGAGAGCAACCCTTGCTTAAGATGGTCATTCTGTTCCCAACTTATTGGGGACACACTCATTCCCTCATGGGGTAATTGCTCCAACTCAGGATGCTGTCTGTGCCACTCTGGTTTTCCTGGAATCCCAGGTGGCTGCAGGTTTGGGACAATGGCTGGAGATTTCTTGGCATCACTTCAAGGGGACATTGTAAAAACTGGCAATGGAGTGACACTACAAATCTTGAACATTACGTTACTCATGTTGATTTTGAAAGGGGATGAGATAGATTAAGTAAATTTAGGGCTGTTAAACTTTGTATTATTAGCTTCTAGGCAGACAATCCCTGAGTCATTAACATGCCTGTGTGCAGGGCTGATCTGAAGTTTTATGTGATAAAATGAAGACAGAGATGCCATGCACCATCCTGTTTTTAGTGACCCAGCCTCTAAGACCTTGCTACATTTTGACTTTTTCCTATTCCTTCACCTCCACCCTCTACTATCAAGACACACAGACTTGGTTCTTCTCCCTAGACAACAGTGTACCTGCTCTATTTATCTCTGTGTTGACTTAGACTTAGTTGTATCCACAGCATCTGGCATACAGATAAGCTTGATAAATATTAGTTTAAAGGAAACGTAATTGGCATACAGATAAGCTTGATAAATATTAGTTTAAAGGAAACGTAATCTAAATGTTCTCTGACTTGGTCACTCCTACCTCTTTAGTAAAATAGGAATTCAGTGCTTCTCCCAGCTTCTAGACATCACCAAGATCTTTCTGTGCATCCCTGTGGGTGTCTGGCTGCAGTTACACCTACTTATCTATTGCCAGCCAGCCATTTATTGATTGATTGATTGTACTGAGGACTGAACTCAAGGTGTTAGTACTGACCTAGATCCCCAACCTTTTTCTTTTTAATATTGAGACACGGTCTTGGAAAAATGCTAACTTATGCAGTATATTAGTTTTATTTTTGTCACTGTCTCAAAATACAGGACACTAGCAATTTAAAGGAGGAGAAATCTATTTGGCTCAAGGTTATGGTGGTTTTGGTCCATGGTGACATGACTCCAAGGCAGGAATGGCATGGAGAAAGGGCTTGGGACAGGTCAGCTGCTCAACCCTTGGCAGCCAGGCAGCAAAGAGAAAGAAGGGAAGAACCAAGGACAAGACCATACCTTTCAGGTCACATTTCTATTTTTTTTTTTTTTTAATCGGTACCGGGGGTCAAGCTCACGACTGCCTGCTTGCAGGGCGGGGGTTATGCTGCTGAACTAAATCCCCAGTTTCTCCCACACTTCTAGTGACCCACCTCCTTTTAAAAAAGATTTCTGTATTTATTATTTATTTAGACCTAGCTCTTTTGACTAGGCCCCAACTCCTTTTTTTTTTTTTTTTTTTTTTTTTTTTGTCTTTTTCCTTTTTACCGGTACCGGGGATCGAACTCATGACTGACTGCTTGCAAGGCAGGTGCTTATGCCACTGAGCTAAATCCCCAGCCCCTAGGCCCCAACTCCTAATAGCACATTCTGCTAGGATCTCCTCAATGGATTAATACACTGTGGGGAGAAAATAGAAGTTCATCTTAGGACTGGAACAGAAAATTTGGTGGCTTAGTTTATTTTTGTTTGTAATGCCAAAATATTTGAAGCTGCATAATTTTTAAAGAATAGAAGTTTCGGGGCTGGGGATTTAGTTCAGCGGCATAAGCACTTGCCTTGCAAGCAGGCAGTCGTGAGTTCGATCCCTGGTACTGATAAAAAAAAAAAAAAAAAAAAAAAAGAATAGAAGTTTCGAGCTGGTGGCTCACTTCTGTAATCTCAGCACTCGGGAGGCTGAGGCAGGTGAATGGTTGCCAAGTTCAAGGCCAGCCTGGGCTACCTTCAGGCAAGGCCAAATTGCACAGTGAGACCGTGTCTCAACCCCCTCCCCCACATACACACAAAGAATAGAAGTTGCCAGGTGCCCAGTTTGAGCAATTTAGCAACTCAGTGAGACTGTGTCTCAAAAAAAAGTTCTTTCTAAGCACAGTGGGTACATAAGAGGGGAAGTGCTGTGCACCACACAAGAACCCTTGTTCAAGCAGTAGAAAAATACTATTAGAAATACTAAGGTATAGGGGCTGGGGATTTAGCTCAGCGGCATAAGCGCCTGCCTTGCAAGCAGGCAATCATGAGTTTGATCCCTGGTACCGATAAAAAGGAAAAAGACAAAAAAAAAGAAAAAAAAAGAAAAAAAGAAATACTAAGGTATAAAGGTTTTTTTTTTTTTTCTATGATCTCTCCCAACCTGTCATGATTTATTTTTAAGTTTTGCTTTTTATAGTACTAGGGACTGAACTCAGGGTGCTAGGCAAGTGATGTATCCTGGCCCTTCTTTTTTTTTTTTGGTGGTACCAGGGATCAAACTCACGACCTCATGCTTGCCAGGCAGATGCTTACACCACTGAGCTAAATACCCAGCCCCCTAACTTTTTCTTTTGAGACTAAGTTGCTAAGAAAGTTGTCCAAACTGGCTTTGAAGTTGTGCCAGTTCCTCATCTTAAATAGCCTGGATTACAGGTGCATGTTCCTGCATCCAGCTTGTGGTGATATTTTTAACCTGTTATTAATGCTGGACTCCCTAGGGCAAAGCATACTCCTGCATAAACACCGTCACTCCAAAGCACCTAAACCTGTATGTGCCTG